GTGCAGTTGGAATAGAAGAATAAGGATGGAAAAGCCTTAGAAGGGGAATAAGAAGAGGGAAAAGTTTGATCAGTAGTGCCCAAAACCATATCCATTCTTCTCGACGCAGTAGACAGGCCGTCGTTAAGGATCCTCTGTGACAGCCAGAGCACCAAGAAATGGCTTGAAGTTAAATTCATTGGGTTATACTGCGTAGGCAGGATAGTGTCTGGTTGCTCAGCTCTAGAATGAGATCGAGTAGGGTTCTAAGTCAAAGCTTTTAGTTTAAATCCGTGACCGCAAGGCATTGGGTTTGGCAGTGGTTTACAAAGTGTGCGTTTTAAGGAATAAGGATCCAACTAAGCTCCAACTCCCAACCTGGGGGACCAGGAGAATAGTTTCCTCTGGACTCTGACCATTGACCAGTGTGTTATGATTATCACTGAAGGTGCAAAAATGCACCACCCACCATAGCTGAATGGATCGCTAAGGAACGCAAAACATCGCATCAAGGTAAGGTTTAACCTTATTGCGATGGTAGCCCGTATAAAGTCGTTCTTCATCGCTCATCTCTTTTACGGCTGAAGCACTATTGCAAAAGACCGCATCTCTGCACAATTGCAGCTCCCATGGTGTTGATTCCGTTCGTCCAGAAGCTATAGGAGCAGCAGTGAAACAACTGGTAGTGCCTTTGCCTCAGCACTTTAGGGTTGCTTAGGCCAGAACTAGGTTCCTGCCATGTGAACGCATGGAATAATAACTCCGATTCACAAAGGCGGAGGCTGAACTGAGCTTTCAAACTACCATCCACTATCTCTTCTCACTATACTGTCCATAGCCATGGAATCCACCGTGTGCCATCTGGAAAACTGCAACATTACGCTGTTCAACAAAAAATTTATTTTCTGACAGTAACGTCAATGTCTCTAGCTTATAGAATACACTCCACTGATCGTAAAAATGTATTCCGGTGTTATCCCACAGGTCAGGTCACATTGTTATAAGCTAATAATTATTTTCAGTAATGGCCAGTCTAGATCGTACGAATTATCTGCAAGTTTACTGAATCCGAACATGCATGTATGTGGCAAATACGTTTACTAAATCACTGCTACACTCGCCCTTATCTACTGACAGCAACTTGGCACTAGGAAATAGGTAATACACCGAGATCGTCGCTTGCATGATCCAGTGTCCACAACTGCAGAAAGCAGCAAAAGTCACCTATCATAGAGGGCGTGCACTTACAACTGTAGCGTTGCTCCATGACTGAAATGTCTTGGTGAAACCACTCACCACGTTTATCGCTAACAGATCCCAAGTTCTCAGGTAAATAGTCAAGGTGATTATGTGGAAATTGAACCTTGAGTAAGATTTGAGCACCAACCGTCTGATAGTCTGCAATGAGTTTGTTATCATGTCTTTGTAGTTACCTGCCTACGTTCTATCCAAAAATTCTGTACATCGTGCCTTTAACGATCTCCACGCTTCCAACTCAAAAGAAGTCGAGTTACATTTGAAAGCATTGTCTGCCATTATCCGCCGAATAGCATGCCCAATAAGTATCGCTTCGTTGAGCTTCGCATCAATGATCTACGGAAACACTTGCTTTAGGTAATGGAAAGCAACACCATCTCACTTGATGGGTTGACGAAGTTTTAATCAAACCAACTTTGATGTACAAGGGTGGTAGATAGGCATGATGAGGTTGCACAAGAGGTGCGTGCTTTACACTTATTTTCCCTACAATAAACTCCATCCTCACTGGCTACTTTTCTGTTTCGCAGTGTTGTTGGGTTGCTCTACAGTCTCAAAAGCACAAGAGACAGCAATATTTCATGAAACCTACTTGCATACTCATTGGCAGTCTAGTGGCATTGAAGTCAGCACAGATATTCCGAAAGCATTTATCGTAGTTCAGTGCGGCGAGTATCTCTTGTATCCTATCTTGCGTCTCTTTCATGTTGATGACATGCAACAGAGGCACAGTTGGATACACATGTTCATTGTGGAGCAGTATGGCCTTAGTACTACTCTTTGAGGAATCAGTGGACAAAGGCTATTCCTCACTTATATGCTCCAAGCCAAGCTTCTTCATTAGTCCTTCTACATGCCACAGAAACCGGACTATGTCACACTTCGCTTAGTGTTCGCAGCAAGTAAGTGCCTCTGCTGCACCCGAGATGCCAACAACTCTGCCTTGTTATTAGGCAAGCCCAGGTTACGTACCAAGTCATTCAGCTTCGATTGCACATGAGCTTCAAAGTTTTCACAGATGTCAGAATCAGGCGAAGATGACGACATGGAATCAGTACTAATCATCAGTGATATATTCACTGGAGGTGCTGGAATAATTAAGGTGCAATCATATGGAATTGGTCGAATAGGTGGTGGAAGATCGGAGAAATGATTGTTTTCCATGTTTCGGTTGGAGTATCCAATGACACAAGTTAGGCAAAAGTAGCAGGTTGTCTCGTTATTCTTGGGCTCCCTCCAGACCACTGGAATTGCAAAGGACATCTTGTCTTTGCCCTTGAACCACAGAGTCAGCTAAAGATTGCACGTGGCGCCCACTTCTTATTCTGATCTCCCAGTTTCATCCCAAAATATGCGCGGCAGATAGAATTCAGTAATGAAGAAATGGGTCTGCACTGCGACCTTTTAGTAAACTATCCACAGATGTAACAAAAATGATTTCGGTCATTGACACAGCAGCGCCTTTGAGCCATGGTCAATATATCTATTAAGGAAACACAGTTCTCAATCGACATTCAGTAGCGGGTAGATATCGTGGCCAAGAAGACTTCTCTTATATGGTTACAGGGAACCAATGAACCAATCACAAGCGAGCAGCAGATGCATGGAACGTACTGCTTAGCTAAAAGGAAAAATTGTAATTAAACAAAAACCCAACGTGATGAAAACATTCGGTTTGCATATTTGTGCTCAGCTTACTTGATACCTAGTAGCAACACCTTAGCTCATTTCGGTTATAAAATGATGCTGAACAGTGTTAGTACTCCTGAACAGCACGGGTTTCGTCGAAAGTGGTCGTGTACAGCGAATCTGTTAATGGCACGGGGTAATTGGGCGCAGCCAGCTGACGATGGAGCTGATGTTGACGTGCCGTACTTAGATATTCAAGGACACACGATAATCTAGTTCATCGGATTCGCCCACCCCCACCCCACCCAAGCTGCGGTATTGCGGCATTTGTGACCCTCTTAAGCTGGATCGCCAACTTTCTCCTCCAATGGCAGTTAGTGCAGGGTGAAAGCTCCCTACCTCGGCCAATACAAGTCGAGTGTGGTGTACCGGCATCTATTAATTACGCTTTGCGGAAGATATGAGACATGGTGCAAAATTTAAACGGATACCGATCAGAAGCTGCTTTTATATAACCCAAACACGGTATATCAGTGGTCAACCCAAAGTCTGCTGCAGTTTAGCGTGAGAACGTGCACTAGATTACCACAAGCTTATTTACTCCTTTAAGTTCGGAAAGCAAGCAATATAGTGATCTTTCGTCGAACGCTAGCTGGATGTGCTTCTTTACGCTGATTTGGGTTGTTCCAAGCAATCCGAAAAGGCATCTGTCCGTTGTGATGTGCGTTCGGACGTCAGGTTATGGAGAGCGATCAGTACATTAGATGACCCCACGTTACTTCAAACGGAGCTGGATGGTGTTTACGGATGATCCACCCAGAACCTACTTTGGTTCAAGGTAGCCAAATGTAGAGTGCTTTCACTTACGGCGCCATCTAGTGCACTCCTATGAACTGGGCAGTCGGGAACTTTAGACAACTTCTTGCGAACAAGAGCTGAGCGATCTGATTCAGGCCATCTTCGTCTCTTCGGATCAGCCTGAGGTTGCATCTAAAAGATGCACTGAAGACGTAGGCCTCCTGCATCGTACATTCGGACGCTTCAGCGCAACGACTTTCCACCAGTTTCTCGTTGCATACATATTTCACACGTGAGATATTAAATACAGGCATAGCAGCAGTGACCAAGTAGGGACTTGTCGAGTTCAAGATACCTTAGCGTCGTGCAACCAAGATCGTCAAAACTTTACCATGCGAACAAAAGCTGAGAGTGCTCGGGAGCTTCTGTCAAAGATATTGCTGATTGCGTGGGGACTTTTCAGACTTCGAATGACTTCAAGTATGTGTGACACCCACCGCTGGAGCTGAATCCCGATAATAACATGAGAGGGTGCGATCACAATTTCAAATATTGGTGTAGTCATTTGGAGTTGCCAGAATTTCTTTTCCGTATGTGCTTGTCAATCCTTGTATGCTATCATCCTTGCTATGCTATCATCCTTGAAGTCAAATCCTGATCTAACTGTTCCTTCATTACTTTGTACAATTTCCTTACCATTTGCCTACTAGCGGTATCTGCTACAGACTTCGCTGCCACTTAGCCCCCAGAATACATTCCATCTTTTTAACACTTGCACGTGTTGTTAGGAATAGAAACTGCTTATATGTGCTGCCCTTTTGTTGTCAATATGGTGAGTCTGCTGGCATGTAGTTTGTATTTTGATATCCATCCTAACCCTTCTACGTGACGTGTTCAGATATAGCGTTTTGCACGTATTAAGCATAGTTCCATTATTCCGCTTCCCCCCGGACAAAGAAATGAGGATATGAACAATCTTCGTGTTTCATTCCTTTGGGTTGTGGATGTACACAACAGTTGCTTATAAAAATTTACAATTTATGTTAGCAATGAAGTATGTTCCTTCGTCGTTAAGACCTATGAGAAGATATTCTGCAAGTAAAGATTCGTGATTTGCATGGCGTTGAACCAGAAGATATCAGACTATGAGAATGCAAGACGTAAAAAATAAAGAAAAGGAATACATCAGGAACGTGTTCTACCCATTTTAAAATGACTAAAATGCTCTTCCAACCGAAACTAGTATTTTCCTGTTAAAAACAGACTGGAACTATTTTGCTTGCTTAAGAATGAAGGAAAATTCAGCGAGTTCTCATACATTTTTAACACGAACTTACACAAAACGAAGAAACCCACCGCACATACTAGTGCGATTAGAGGCGTTCGAACAACAAGGTTCGCATCAATTGTTGTGGAGCCATTAGATGCTTTCATGTTGGCGTCAAATAAAATCGCCGAAGATACTCATGTCACTAGGTTGATGAAGTAGATACAAGGCAACATTGGCCGATTCATCGCAGACTGTTGTGAAGTCCATAAGATGTATTCACAGACCGCTCTCCATTAAGCACAGCCTAGAAGTCATGTCGCTGCTGAACAATAGTAACTGCTCAAACAAAACTGCTGATCATACGGATCGATATAACCAACGGATGCCAGACGAACACAAGTGTATTCGCTTGAGGAATGTATGTCTCATTCTGACGCCGAGTGTGCCGCTCGTAAACGCGTGCAATCTACTGCTACAAGGTATCTTTTCATTAACCTCCAAGCGGTTGTTCACAAGTTCACACAAGTGCGTGCTCTCGGTAAAAATCTGATTACACAACTTCTGGATATTTATGGTATCTCCTGCAGATAAAGCCCTAATAGATTATTTTGTTGTACACGGAAGTGGCTTAAAAATTACGCTGGTATCAGTATGATTCAGCTGAACAACAAATGCTTTTGAGTTGAGCCTAACGAATCGAGAAATCCCAAATGACTAGCTTATAATTTTGTTCTTGTGCTAATGGAGTCCGAAATTGAATTCCAGTCATTAAATGAGGAATGAACACGTAAAAATGCTGAAACACTTGCATGCATAGCTAAATCTAGCTGTTAGGAAATCCTTCTGATTTTTAATAGCTAGCATCCATAGAAGTCCGATAGACATACTTATCACTCAGTACCCTTTTGTGCGCTTTGCCCAATTCGCATTGTTAACCCGTTCCTTTCTTCAACTTGATGCATGGATCTTCATATGGTAGTGTTTTAACTGAGTTTTTGGTTACCTTTAGAGCGTCATAGTTTTCCTTGCATAATGGCCACCTAATAACTGGTGACCTCTTACTTCTTACGTGCGATACTTACTCCATTGACAAGCCCTTTATTGTACGCTCGCCCTACTCAATATTCCAACCCCGTCCTTTGTTCACATACAGTTTGTGAATTATCTTCAATAAGCCCAAGCCTCGTTTTACTATGATGGTGGCTGCTTAAGCATTTTAAATGTGCAGCTAAATTACAATGTTAGCTAATTAGCAGGATTAAAATCAATGATATACTGATAAAGCGCAATGAGCAGAGAAACGGCTAAAATAGCTAAAGTTACGACATAATCCAATATTTCAATGTAGAATAAGCATTAATGGCTTGTTTCCAGGAATATTGTATATTCAGCATTCAGCGTATGTGGTTTGGAGTACAGTTGGCTGAGGGCAATATACGCGAAAATGCGAAGTATGTACCGCAGACTATCGGTGTCTTAGCCTAAGCTTGAGCCAGTCAAACCTTCTTGCATCCGAGGTTTGCACTGATTCACAAGATCGTGCCCCCTTAGTCACAAAATATATGTGCGATTTGTTTTATATGTTACTGTTTGCTGTGCCCTGATTGCTTGTTCTGGGCAACTGCATATCTAAATAAATCCATCAGGTTGACAGGTTGTGAGAGGAGTGTTACATGTGGTCCTGCTACTCGTCATAGCATTCTAACTTTGGTGACCACAAACTCACCACTTCTTTGGATTTAACTGGATTTGCTAAATCGGAAATTTCAAAGGGTTATCTTTGAATTGGGGCAACGCAAAGTTTAGTACTGTGTCACATGATTGTGATTTTAACTAACCCATCAAACTGAAGTTTGACGCATTAAAGTATAGCACTCGTTTGTTAAACTAAATAATCCCTGGGTTTGACGATTCTTTTGCAAACCTTTGGTCATCAGTCGTAGTGACATCATAAATACATTGGTCAGCGCCACGTGACTGGATCTGTTTTGATATTTTACGTGTCCAAACCCACTGAGCTATACTAAATGGTAACTTTTGCACCTTCAGAGCCAGATTGTTCAGTGTTTAGAAACAGGAAAAAGGCAGTCACTTGACTCTCCAAGTTTGGAGAAGGGGTTGGAGTTAGGGCGGATCCTGAAGCAATAAATTGGATTCTCAGTAGCCCAGTGCCAAATCCGGTTGCACTGCGGGCAGGATGCTGAAACAAGGGTTTTGGTTTAGAACCATTATCCATTTCTTGGCTAGGCTTAAGCAACCTGACAATATCTGACCCATGTAATCCAATGAATTTTTCGTTAAACAAGTTCCTCTTGCTTTGGTCGTCGCCAAGTCTTCTGGACAACGCTCGATCTGTTGCGTCGGTCAGGGTGGGTAGGAAAAAGGACTGAACTCCCCGGAGATGAGAATGTGGCTGTACCTAGTGCGTGGCACTCTGTTCAGGACACGTATCAAGCGGGAATCCATTTCCGGAGTGGACCTTAGGGGGTGCTAAATGACTGCTACGAGACATGCGTCGTTGTGTCTTAGTCAGGACGCCAACAGAGTGAGTGGTTAACGTGCGTTTCCAGCTCATCAACTATTGCACATTGTAGATCGCTGCGGTAGTAGAGTAGCACCCTACCTTATCTGCTGAAGCGGTCGTTCCGGATGAGTGATATTCCGGCTATCTGAACCCTGGCATCAGTCACCTCTTGGTGCAACCAAATTTCGGTCATAAGTATTAGGTTACTAACATTCGCAACCTGACGTAGCCGAAGTTCGGTAAATTTACGCAGAAGTCCTTGGGCCTTAGTGTACATACATGAAAGTTTTTCAGGCTTAAGCAATGTTTCGGGGGTTGTGCAACTCATACGTGAAGTTTCGCCGACCAGTGACTGACCGGTGACTAATCGTCTTTGCGGTGTGTACTTAGAGAAGGATTTAACGTCTTACTCATCGTCTGCATAGTTGGTTCCGTGTCAAACCTTCTACGTACTGTGTAAGGCCTCGGGTCAATATCATCTTCCACTGGTTGTGTGGGCCCATTAGACACACAAATGGTGCATCGTCCTTTTATACATTCCATCGTGTTTGCTTCTTGGAGTGACATGTCATCTCTAGGAGGCAAATCGCTGATTGTCTTCAGTTGAATCTCAGATCGTAGCCTGCAACGGAACATGTACCAGCTTGTTAGCCTCCGAGTTACCATTTGTTTTGACCGTAAGACCACCTTCAACACTCTCGGGCCACTTCCATGGTAGTTTGGTGAGGTACGCAGTCGTGACACGGATCGTACTAACACATCATCCAGGCACAGTGTTTCACTAATATAACACTACTGTTCTTTATTATAGGTTATTATTTCATGCTCAGCACATACTTCAGTTTCACCAACACCAAGAAGAGGTATGGTTCTGATTGAACTTTCTATCCGGTAGTCCTCTAAGGTGCGGTTAACTCGACAACGTTCGCCGCATGGGATGTCTGGAAAGGTACGGATGGAGCAGTGTTCATTTCTGTGACTAGCTGTCGACAGTAGTACTGATCCTACTTCACTGATGGAGTTAAGCACAACACGAATCAATCTTGGCTCTCCGAAATGCTTAGAGTTGGGGTGTTGCCTAATACCCACTACCTGTACAGCTTTCAGCACAACCCCGATTACTTTACTAAAAATTGCCCACTGTTTTAGGCCATGCAACTGCTTGTCCGTTATTGATGTCGACGTTGGTTCTGGGATATTGGAGCACAGTACACTCGGTACAGGTAGTTGTTACTTTACACCTTTCAATATGTCTCGGTTAGTAGTTGAAATACACGGAGAGGTAACTCAGGAAACCGGCGATGCTTGCACTAGGAAAACTCCGCTACGCTCGTCAGTTTCTGATCTAGTTAGTCGTGCTGTTAATTTTAAATGACGGCTCTACTTGGAAGGAACCATAAACCAACTTTCGTTAGTACAGGCTTGCTCGTTTTCTATGCACTCCGTCGAGAGTTTGGAAGTCGTCTTACTTTTAGTTACTCCGATCGAACTGGGAACAACATTAGTCAACTGTGAACCACGTGTGGTATTGGAACCGCAGTTGATGTTTTGGGCTCTAGGTGTCGCCTTGTTTGCAGTGTTACTAATAGTTCTTCTCGGGGTTGGAGCAGCAGTTACGGGGGAGAATTGTGTTGCACAATCCGCTATGATTACCCCAACCGTAGCGAGGTTGGTGGTTAACATTTCCCCGAACTTGGCTAGTAGCTGATCTTACTACTGTGATAATGGGTACACGAAATTGGTAGTGGTATAGAGGAGTATTCCACGCAGAATCATAGAGAATCTGGTTTGTTTAATAACGTCTCCCGACTAGGTTTAACTCGCAGGCACCTCGCATTGAAAAGTCTGCAGCAGTTACGGCACAGAATGCCCTCCTTAATAAGTTTGGAACATGATCCACATAGGTCTTTAGACTGTGGCACACTGGGCATCGTGATTGGTGAGGAACTGTTACAAACCATTTGGATGACTCACCGTTTATGGGAAAAAGTTGTTGTGTTACTGACGTCGTCGACATAGTCACAGTGTACACGTTGCAGTTGTGCGCTTGCAGACTGTCCTCTCTGGCATCCCAGTCTGACATCCCGGTCAGCGTGAAGGTGGAGCAACTTACACGAGGGGGTGAATGAAAATTTTCGTGGTCAAACCTATGGATCGTTTAGGGTGAATTTGCCCTGAGACCTGTAGCTGCTCCAAGCAAAGTTGGATTTGAACAAGTGACGGTTCGTGCGAAAACCGTTGAAATGATCTATGGAGTGAGACCAAACAATGTCTTCGATGACTGGAGTTACGCAACTTTTGGTGCTTGGATATCGGCGAAGCCCTGCCCGGAATTTAGAATTCGTGGTATATGTAGAATGTACTCGAGAAATTAGTAGCACAAGATGGAGCTTTTAAAAGCACGACGAATAAGTATAGAGCCAAAGGTATGCGACAAAACGCCGCTGAGCCAAAGTAAGCAAATCACGAGTGCACAGGTGAGAGATTTACACACACGTTCGCTCAAGGTCACAACAAATAAAGCTACTCTTTTGCTTCGCACGATAATTAGCTTCCAGTCACTGCACTGGTAGCACAACGAGATGGCGCACACTAGCCATGGACCCAACTCGATCACATCTCGATCAGTTACCAATACAGGGATTAAGTCCAAAAGGTGCGTTCGATTTGGAGTACGAATGTGGACTTCGACGGCGTCCTTAGAGCAATGGTTTATGTTTGACAAATCCCATAGGATGATTAAGGTAAAAACTACAAAATACAAAACGTTGGAGGTAAAAGAACGCGCTAGATACATAACTCACCAAGTGGTACGCATTATCTCAGGTGCGA